AGGTGCTTCCATTGTAACTCAAAAAGTTAAAAATCTAAGTTTAAGAGCACAGACAAAAAATGTGTACAGACAGAGAGAGGGGAAAGCAGTCAGGAAACAATGAGGTAATACTAATCAAAACAACAGGCTAAAGGTCACAGAACCAAGTATCTAATGATCTTACTGATTACTGGATTATCTAAATATAATGCCCTAGTAAGACATCATTTTACAAGTTCGTATAAATAATTTACATATTATTATTTCTAAATGGGAGTGTTATATAGACATATAGGCTCAAGGACAAGAAAACAGTTCTCTTTCCTCCCTAGTCTGATAAGAATATATAAATATACTGGTTCCCAACACATTATGTATTTTTCTTATTGTTTATGTATTATTATTGTTTCTTTTCTTTTTTTCAGGTGCAGTAATGATATATAATTCAGGCCCTGCTACATGTTTCACTTAAGGCAAGATTAACCAATCAATTGTGTTTTAAATTGTAACCTGGCCACACAATCAATCAACTAATGGTGTGATAAAACAAGAAATAAGCCACAAAATCATTCTACAAAAAATGCATAATAACTTGGTGGCTGATTCCTTTCAGACTGTGAATTGAATATGTGACCAGGTAAGTCCCTATCAGGATTTCAGGGATAGATCTGAAACATGGAAGATGCCAAATTTTAGCCAGTTTGGGATTTAAACATCATTGCCAAACAACAAGAAAGATTTCTACACCTCCCTGCCAGTCTGCCATCGAACACCACCAGGGAAGGAATCCTGCCTTATCTGCACATCAAAGAGCAACTCACAAAGACACTCTCACAGACCCAGAGGAACATACTTCTACCTTCAGCTTCCTCTGTGCAAAAATGAAGTTTATTTTCTAGCTATGGGAACTTTCTACCATCTTTAATTTTCCCTGAGCCTGAGGAAGGGCGTGTGTGTCCGAAAGCATGCAGAAAAAGATAATTTTTTTGCAATTTATTTAGTCTAATAAAATGCATCACCTCTGAACCAAGAGTTCTAGAGTTTTGCATTTCTTTGAGAATGCAGGGAGCACTAGTTAAAAAATGCATCTAAATGACGCAAAGTTAGATGCCAGAATGAGTAAATTGGCTTGATATTCTATAAACTGGTGTTAAACAAGAGCACGCAATATTGTCTTCTTATGTAAAACCTATGAACCTTCCCTATTTGATGCAATAAAATGCAAGAACAGTCTTGCAACTAGCAGACATAAATATCTTTAAAATTTTACTTAATATTTTATCTTTTTGTCACAGTAGCTGGGAAATCCTTAAACTCAATATATTATGTTATAAATGTAGACTAAGAGTGTAATTTAATTTTTTTTATACATAGCTGAAAAAGGAAGAAAAGGAGCAATTTCTTGAGAACCTGCTTTAAAATGAGTGATTACTAAAAGGTTAAGTGTGAATATAAACAACCAGAAAGAGTTTATTCTTCCGCAAAGAACTGAAATTAGAAATAAAAACTAATCCTTTCAAACATCAGATAATGGTTCAGACTGACCAGTTGCAGGTTAGGAAAATATAGGGCTCAAAGGCAGACATTTGAGAGCTCTTAAACATCACAATATTATCCAATGTATGATGGAACACCACTATTTTAATAATATTATAGGATGCTGGGTTCCTCTATAATTTAGATGCCCCTGGCCATGGCTGTATTAGCCCTGCAGTTAATCCACCCTTGAGACTTGACTGGTAATTATCTGAGTTGGGAGATTTATACCTCTTTAAACACGCTAAAATAGCATGTGTCAAATCACAGAATTTATTAGTCGTTTACTAAAAACCAGCTGCGTGTTAGAATCTACTGGTGCTTCCTGTGATCTATGAGTTTCTTTCTTCCTGGAAGGAAAGTCAACAATTTCATTTTATGCAGGATTATGAAGAGACTAGTCTACCCTCATAAGCAAATTCTTGGTTGGGAAGGGGAACTAGCTGTTAAACCTCCCTTATTCAGAAGTGAATTCCATTGTCAGGGAAATCACTAATGCCCCCAGTGTCAAGGGATTCTGCCTCATTCCTGCTGCAGGATCTGCTGGAGTGTAACTGCTTCGTTGGTTGCTAGGTAACGACCAACTCATTATATGTCATTATCAGCACCCTTGAAAAAGGAAATTGGCATCTGCTTCCCATTTGGGGATACCAGTGATTGAAGTAATAGCACTGGAGCAACTGCCAAAAACCCCTTGGTCTCCCAGAGCTTGGTATGTGAATACAGCAGGTGCCGACTTCAAAATCCATCTTTGAAGTTTTAGGTTCTGTAGCTTTTGTGATCCTGACTAAATGTAGCAGACAAAGGCAATAGGGTGGCCTATCCCAGCTACTGGCACTGATAAACCTCATTTTTAAATGCCAAGAATGGAGAAAATATCCTCCCCCTAAATTCTGGCAAACACGTGGCTTATCTGATTGGGGCAAAATTTATCACAAAGAGCTACTGTGAAGCCTGTACTAGAAACAGAGAAGATATCAACAGTACTAGGATGGAAACAGATTGAAAAAAAAAGCTTCTCCTCTTAGCCAGGGTGTGAAAGATTTGAAGAAACTTACCAAGGTCATATAGGACTCTAGCAATATCCTTCAATAAATCTCTGCAATGTTTGGTAACTGTAAGCAATTTGGTCAATATACCAAAGACTAAATATCTAACTTTAATGCATTTAAACTGTTTCTCTCATTAGCACTTCACAGTTTCTTTTGCAATAAGAAGAGAAAATAAAAGTCTGTCAAGGAATAAAAAAACCCCACAAAACGAGAAAAAAGAAATCCACCCAGATACCATACGTCAAACGCAGCAAATTTATTAATGTAATATCTTCACTGCACAAAGATGGTATCTGCTAATTTTCATAATGTCTTCACATGTCGACAACCATCAAAGTATCCACAGCACTAGCTGAATACAAGCACATGAAGTAATTCCTCAAGACATGCATAGGTCCTTTTATAATCAGATCTCTATACCCATTTAAGTCAAATTTGAAAACAGCAAAAATTTTAACAAAATAAAAGCCATGGGGAAAAAGGGGGCAGGGAAGGGGCATTGAAGAGTGGAGATAATCACTTTAAGCTTATGCAGCCCACTAGAATGGCCATGTTTGAGGAGCATACCATAGTACAGGGATGGCCAACCTGTAGCACAAGTACCCCAAGTGGCACAGACAACCTTTGTGTGTGACACATGGCAGATTAGGGAGGGAAAGGGTAGCACAGCAGCAGACAAGAGAGGGAGCAGAAAGCAGAGCAGCAGATGGGCAAGGATCCAACAGCAGGGAGCAGAAAACATATCAAGAAGGGAGTATAAGGGCAGAAAGCAAAAAGTAGAGCAGCAGATTAGGCAGGGGAAGGGGAGTGGAGTGGCATTCTGGGAGGACCTGGAGCTTAATTTGTGGCACTCCTCCCAAAAAGGTTGGCTCCTACTGCTGTAGTACAACAAGGATTACTTTCCCTCTTACCTTACCCTTAGACTCAAATCTCTTATTCTCAACAAAGTTGAAAACCAAATGTAGTTAAGTAGAACTTAGCTGTTTTTAAGTTCTTCAGTAAATAAATACAAGGTACAGGAACAGATGTGAATGGAATACCCAGAAGGATTTTAATCACTACAAATAAAGCTTCAGCTTCTGACATCCATCTGGGGAAATTGTGAGTAGGTTCACTGACATCAGTGATAGAAACTAGGAACATCCTTAACCACTATGCTCAGTTAGGACCATTAGCAACGCTGTTCCTGAACTTGAACATTTGTTCATGTGTCCATTTCCATATTTGTAATACTCAATTTATGTACAACCATTAGAATTTGTGTATTTACACTTTTAACTGACCACTAAAGGTTAGATGTTCAAAGGGCAGGTAGGCACACGATTCTTATCATGTTTCATGTCTGGTTCTTGGAAAGTTTTCCTTTTCATGACCAACCATATTAAGAAAATAACCTACTACCAGGTAAAACTCATATCTGGTTTTGCTCAGAAGACTGAAAACAACACCATAAAAACAATGCAAAAGAGTGAATAACAGAAAACATATCTAACACCTGGAAGAAACATACAACACATATTCAAAGACTGTTCTTTAAGGACATTTATTTCAATAACTGCTTAACTGGAAACTCAAATTACAATATAAGTATTTTGATTTTTTTTTTTATGTGAAGCAAACAACAATTTAAGTTCTTACCTGCCTCAACAGTTTCTCTATCGCAGACATGACCATGAGTCCCCTCCAAACAACTGGCACAGTTTCTTCTACCAAGAAACCCATAGACATGCTGAAATGGTAAAGAAAACATTTAACTTTCAAACATGATCCTAAAGGGAATTATCCTAAGTACATCTGTAAAGTAGCTTGATTTAAAATAAAACATATGCTTACCATTCAATTCCATAATTCTTAAGAGGCCTCATTAAATTTTCTAAAACAGAAACAAAAAGTTATTTAAAAAAAAAAGGCAGTTGTTCTATGAACACACTCCTATACATATCCTTTGAGATGCAGGTTTTTACACACACCAGCAATGGGTTCCCCCTTTTTTCACCCTCTCCAATACTCTTACCTTTCTATATTTTCAAAGCAACAATCTGCATGGTTGTGGGTTCTCAACCGTATACTTTTTTCAAACTATAGCAATTTACTGGCACAATTCACCATCTGTTGGTCAGACTTCGCATATATTCACATTTGATTTTGAGTGCTATTGATAAACCTCTGAATAAACATAACAGCTTTGAAGGGGGAGAGGGAGCTATTGCTCAGGAACACACATCAGATAAGTTGTTACAATGTAACCGCTACATTTGCTTGATCCAACAGCTGTTCATTTAGGCTGCCTGGACATGTTAGAGGTATTGTGCAATTAACTTGTTAATTGAGTAATTACCTTAAAACCAGCTACATGTGCAAAATAGCTATCATGCCATAAAAAGCTGCAACCAGCTATAAAGTTAGACCTCAAAAATGTGTACTAACTTTATAGCTGGTTACTATCAAGCTTTAATTTGCATATGTAGCAGGGTTTCCCCCTGCAGCTGGGGGGCCCATCAGCTGACAGGGCTCCCAACTGCAGGGGTGCAACATGCCCAGCCAGGGCTAGGAGTCCTGCATCTGGGTCAGCTGCAGCAGCTGCCAACTCTGGGTCACAGCAGCATGGTGACCCAAAGTCCTGCAACTGTGGATACGGGTGCCTGGATCCAGCTGGGTCCCAGCAGCCAGGGGATATGGCTGCCCCAGGACTACATGAAACTCTCTGGGACCTAGTGAATGTGGCAGCCATGATCCCCCAAGACCTGGGAGTTTCACATACCCCTGGGACTAGGAGATCGCAGCAGTCACAATTCCCCAGCCCCAGGGGTTTCACACACCCACGAGCCTGAGAGATCATGGCAGCCATTGTCCCCCAGTCCCATGGATTTCATGTACCCCTAAGCTTGGGAGATTGTGGCTGCCACATCCCGCAGGCCCAGGGGTTTCATGTAGCCCCGAGTCTGGGAGATCATGGCTGCCACAATCTTCCAACCCCAGGAGCTTCACAGACCCCAAGCTTGGGAGATAACAGTTGCCACGATCCCCCGCCTCAGGGGTGGGGTCCTTCCCCGCCTCAGACCTCTCAACTGAAGGAGCTCCCCTAGGATTGGACTCCCCCTACACCAGCAATAAGGCATAGTGGAATCTAATGCATGATCCCATAATCACACCTACTGCCATGAACATGTAGCACAGCAAGAGGTGCTATTGTGTGAACCATACATTACATCCTGTCGCACCTTTACCTGCATGCATAGAGGGGGCCTGAGTTAAACCGCTGCTCTTGAAACAGCACCATGTAGAAGGAATAATTAAATTATAACAGTACACATCTGTATCTTCTGATATTAGAGCAATCATTATATGACCCATCCATATTCTTAAATCCCCTCCCAAAGGAATACAAGCCCTTGATTCGCCCTCCTCCACCAACAAAAAATTGTCTGTGTAGCTGCTGAGCTGCCTGTAACAGAACAAAGAGTTCTCCAGCAACAATTTCACAATAACACCGTACCCAAAAGTGACAGTGACTTGAAGTCCACCCTCTCTAAAAACCTCTGTCTTGGGAATGATTCACTCCCTCTTAGCCAAAGCTGTGTGAGCAGGCACATGTGACTACACAGAAATCTACTGCTAAAACTCCAGCTAAACTTTGCTGCTTCTTGGATCTCCTTTGGATGTGGGGGAAAAGAAAGAGGCGTAGAACTCCCAAAGGAACAGAGATGTTTACTTGGACTTTGCGGAGGAGATGCAAAAATTCAAGTCAGACAACAATGCTGTTCACTCCAATGCCAAGGGAAAGAAAACTGCAATAATTCTACCAAAAGAAAAAAAAGAGGGGGCTGAAAATTAGGGGCTACAGCTACTGTACAAAAACCAATGCCAATCTGAGCTCAGACACAACCAACAGCCCACAGAGTGATGGTGAGCACACAATGAAGTCCAAAGGAAAGCAAGTCAGAACTGGAAAAAGTGACAAAGAGATCACTGAGCAAAGGGACAGGGAAGATGCAGAGCCTCCATCTAGGAATGAGCTTTTTGAGACATAACCAAAAATCTAGAGAAAGAACCCCTCAAAGAGCAGGAAGGAGGCTCAGCTAGATATAATTTAATGCACACTGCACATCCCCTCAACCCTTCCCTCCCTCTCTAAAAATAGTGGTCAACATATCCAAGTGGGGAACAAAGGAATTTTGTCTTAAAAGTAGCTGCTTTATTTTAAAAGCATGCACTGGCAATAATTGACAACAAATGAAAGAAAAACTATTTTAAGTGACCATAAAGCATTCCCAAATCTGAATTTTAGCAAAAGCTTTGATACATTCAAACTAAAACCTTTTGCAGGAAGATAAAATACTTTAAAAACACAACGCAAATAAATTCAATACATTCAAAACTAAAAACTAAACACAAATTACCAGTCAATCATTCAAATTCAATATTTTGAAAATACGAAAGAATGCTTGAAAGAAATCTCTAACTGGGCATTCAAATTACATGATTTTGCAGAAATATTGTCATATGCCTGTCAGATGCAAGTTTTTCTAGTCAAAATATTTTGGTTTTCAATTCAAAAGCACAAGTACAAATCAAATTACTTGCAAGTTGTGCTTGGATACAGAAAAGAGGTAGAAATAGTTGCGGACACATGAAGATTGATTTGGGCTGACTCTCAGAACTAGCTGGAGATAACCACTCTTTTCCAATAACTGATCTTCTGTTTTAGTTTGACCTGGATATCATTAGTGTCCTCTGGCACTGATTTCACTGAAATTTTCAAGCAAGTGGTTTTTGATTGTTGCCAGCACATTTCTAGGAAGTGCCGCTTTGTTTCTCCCACTGTAACAAGACACGCTGCTCTGCAATGAGCATCTCTGTGAAGAACACAGCAACATCTGAGTCTGGGCAAACTCAAACTATTCAACTTATTTTCACGGGCCTTTTTCACTCTCAGAAGCAAAATATCCATAATAGCCATATACCAGTGTTTGTAATACATTTAGTAGTCTTTACTAAAGTACCTCCAGAGTCGAGGGTTTCAAGTGTAACTCCATGTATTGACCACGATACATACCAATGTATGCAGAGGGCTACTTCCTCCATCCTGCTGAAAACCTAACCATGATAAAGAAGGAGACAAGCAAGGACATGAACTCAAACTATTTAAGGGTTCTGAGTCCAGAAATGATGGAGGGGGGAACACAGTCTGGAAGAAAGACAGAAGGCTGACAGATGCACTGAAAAGTGCACAATCATGCAGCCTCCCAGGCACCACATTTATGCTTGCAAGGTTTACGGAGCAAAATATCCAGTTTACATCCCTACCAGCCACTAACTGTGGACAACTCTTTTTCTGAAGCCTAGAGGCATATATCACCCTTCCCTCTCCAGATACCAGCTTGCCTATAACATATCATTTCCACCGTCCCTCAGTGGGCAAGATAATAGCTGAGTACAAATGCACACAAATATATGCAACCTGCAATGCAGCTTAAAGCAGCCAACACCTTGCGTACTTTCTTCAGAAACATGATTATTTATTGCTGAAATGTTCTATTTTGTGAAAACTGGGATTTACTTCTCTTGTTTTAGCTACTGTTAAAGTATATTCCTAAGGCTTCACCACAGCCATAAAGTGTCTCAGTGTGCTCTAGTAATTAATTTCCCTTGTGCCAAACTGCTCAAAAGCAACAGTCATTTTGCTTCTTCCTTCATACTGCCATCAGCCTCACAAAGAGTATGTAAAACACAACAAGCAACAGCAACAAGAATATTTGACATACTGAGATCCAGGCTAGCCATAAAACACCTCTACTTTCCCTTTAGTAGGGAATGCACACAGCTTTCTCATGCTGCACCTGCTCTGTTGTCGCCCAGGTACCCAATGTTATGCATGGCTTAGAATCATGAACTGGGAAAACAAAAGATAAGCTGGGTTTCTGGGAATCACATCTGGCACTGCAAACCCACCCCAACATGCACATTTCTGGTTCACAAAAAATTTCTGGTGCTACTTTTCAAAAAATCCAGTATCCCTAAAGTTGAAGACACTGGGGCATCTTCCCTGAGAACACATGGATAATGTCAATGAAATGTCCTTGGTGAATAACCAGCACTTTCATATTTACAGAAAAGTACTGTGATTCTACTAACGCACTCAGAAGCAGAGGGGATAGCACCGGTATGGATATGCTATGTATCATCTCGCCGCATTTACAGAAGCCCAGTGCATTGAGTTCCTCCAATTTTTCACCCAGAAGACCAATCCTGTATAGCAGGACATGTTCAACAGACTTGCACCCCAAGATGATGACTACCCACTGACTGATGATAATCAGTTTGCAAGTTTACAGAGTATGAGTGCCACCAGTTTCTCTATTATCAAAGCATCTCTCCTCTCTGAACTAGAGGGCTAGGCCAAGTTCACCCTATATCTGCATGTTAAAAAGTACAGCTGCTAAGAGCCTAGATTTGTTTTCTGATCCAAGCATAGAGCACTAGGATCATTTCACAGGTAAACACTGCTACTCTACGATAAGCAGTGAATGCCTGCAACATCTGGCATCCTTCATTCACCAATTATATCATTCATTATGCCTCAGTTGGCTTATTGCAAACTGTTTCTACTGTTGCACATCAGGCTGCAGTGGTAGTTGTAGCTCCAAAAATGCCTTAGTCATACCATCATAGGGTAGGATGGGACCTCAAGGGTCATCTACTCTAACTCTCTACCAAATGCTGAATGTTGTATTTGTATACCATCCAAAACAAGTGCTTACCAAGTCTCTTAAAACTGACAAAGAAGGCAGTTGCTATTTTAGCAACATGGTGAGGGCCCTGGAAAGTTAAGACAGCCCTGTTATCTCAGCGTCTCTACTGATGATACCAAGG